CTCGGCATGTATGTTTCTATGTGCATTGAACAAGGAATGTGGTATGATAAACCGAAGTGATTACTTCATCTCCCTAAAAACCTAATATCAAGATGAAGCTTTTGAAAAATGGATCATAAAATGAAAATGTCTTCCTGACAAATCAGGGGTCTTAATAACTGCAACGGGTGGGGTTATCTACCGACAATGTTAGCCAAACCATAAGTTATAAATGCCATCGGAAAGTATACAAAGGCGGATAATTAATCAGAGAACAAATCTCTTCCACGCACGACTGGCTTCATATTACATCACAAACTGTTAAGCAAAACCTTTCACAGTTCGTATGTTATCATTCTCTACAAATTGAAGATATTTTCTTTGTACAGGCTTTTCCAAAAGCAAAAGATCTTATCAGCTAACTTGAATGCAATACAATTTTATCAGTGTGCTTCTAATGGTATTGTTCCAAGAAAAGAAATAAGAAAAACTAAAACCAAGATTGTAAAAGCAAATAAAAAGAGAATCAAAAGCAGAGTGCATAACATTTATGAAGAAAACAAGGAATATTGATCAGAACCAAAAAGATTACCAAAAGTTGTCAGTTTCACGAAAAAGAATCACTTAAAAGAAAATCCATCAATACACATAACTAGTAAAGGCTATAAACGATTATGATAATGAGAACCGAACCAGTGTGAGAACATCAACAGTAATAGAAACTTCAAACTAGAATCAAAGACAAACAATCAACCAAATACCTCCAAACTTCAAACTGTAATCAAAAAATCAACCAATTATCTCCAAATATTCAGCAATAATCTCCAGAAACCCAAGCTCTAACTATAATCACTGATGAGATTTCTTTCACATGATTAGCTCACCGATCCCCAAATCTCGAAACTAAGAATCTGGAATTCAATCGTTTCTGTTATCTAACTTGAGATGATTTCACGAAAAAAGTAAAGATGATCAAGTATATATATACCTGCTCTGGGTAACATCATAGATCTGGCCCTTGATGGCCATGAGAAGGGGCTTTTTGGAATCGGAACCGTCGTAAAGCTTAAGCTCATCCTCGGTGATTTCTCCGAGCTGAATCGGCGGCGGAAGAGGCTCGGACTGCGGCTGAGCCTCCATAGAACGAGGACGGTGCTGTTCAGGAGAGACGAAGAAACCGGAGACAAGTTGATAGACGGCGAAAGCGAGAGCTAATACGGTGAAAAAAGCAGCCGGAGAAAGTCCAGTGTAAGCTGTAATGGTTTCCTTCAACGTCTCCCATACTTGCAGAACCATGATTCAGGAGAAATC